CGAATATACAATGCCATTTAGAAAGTGGTAAAATGTTACATATGCTATATTTGTGATCACACTTTTTCAGTTAAGTACTGATTCTGTTACTTTTATTAGGTGTCTGACTCTGAGAGTTAGGGTTTGAGTCCGAATGGGACACAACTTAATACAATTACTAGAATTGAACATATGTTACATAAATCGTTGATGGATGGTTCGAATCCCAGCGTAATAGTCAGCCTCGGTCGTTAACGATCGAGTGTTTCGTTTTTTCCGCGATCGTTTTCATGTTTTTCATAACATAATTATAAAATATATATTATTACGTACATGTCTTGTATGTAGAAACAATGTATATTGTAGTTAGAAGGTATATAACATGTATAGTTCGCTCCAGTTAACGGCTCGAATAGACCGATCCAGTTCCAGCCGATAAGCCCCTCCCTCTAGCTCTCGTCTTCTTTTTTGACGTTAGGGGGACAGCAACTGACTAATCGCTATGACGTTACCGCCGGCGGAACCTGAGTGCGCGGGTGATGAATTCTGCTTGCGTTTCTTGGGTATCCGTCGTTTGTAAATAATCGAAAAAAGAAAGTTATGCGTATTTTTATTTCAGCCTCATTTCGAATGAATAGTTGTCATACTGTATATGGTGTGTGAAAATGAGTCACAGGTCCGATGTAAAATCGCATCGGCCAGCTGTGCTGATAGTGGGAAGCCTTTTTCTTCGAATCACTTGTCAGGCACTGCACGGGTCCGTCAAACTAATACTGAGATGAAGGAAGAGTAAATACAAGCACATGTGCACGTTGCAGATGGAAAGAAAAACCCTCCCACTCGTGAAAGTGCCCTGTAGCCTTTTGCCTCCTGCAAACTACGTATACTGTGCATGTAAATAGAAACACATTTTCAAAGACCCCTTCCAAATCTAGAACAATTTGTCCAAAACCAGCATCTTAATGAACACTAGTTTTTGGTTAGTCATCAAATATATTGGCAAGCTCCTCAAAACCGGTTGATTTCAAAGAATAAGTACATATTATATAATCCGTGTTGAATATATCAATAATATATATTTATATAAAAAGTCAACTGAGATCTATGTCCCGAACTGAATGATGCCTGACCAGGGTATATAAAAAAGGTAACCTTTGTTTTAACAAATTCTCTGTGTGTTCAAATAACTTGTATGAGTTAAGATGGTAAACACTTTCAGCATTAATCAATCTTTTAAACAAATATGTTATCAAAATAGAAAGATGCCTTAGAGCAAGAGCCAGCAGCTAGGTTCATATTGTGTGGTTGTTATACCATGAGATATCTTTTTAGTGTTCGTTTGTCTAGTTATGCATTTAAGCTCCGTGTTGTTTATGAATTGCAGTGGAGCGTTGACAGGGGGATCTCAGCCGTTCTTGTTCTCTTGGATTTATCGGCCGCGTTTGATACGGTGGATCACCAGATACTTCAGTTATAGTGCGGATTAAATGATACGGCTCTTCTATGGTTTAGGGCCTACTTATCAAACAGGACTCAATCTGTTGCTGTTAATAATGCTCAGTCCGAGGAAGCTATGCTTCTTTGTGGTGTACCACAGGGATCGGTTCTTGGTCCTGTATTGTTCTCTTTGTATACCAAAGAAATTGGCGACCTGCTTTGTGAGAAAGCTACTAATCATCATCTTTATGCTAACGATACTCAGTTGTTTGATGGTATTACCAGGGCCTGTGACAACAATTCTGACTTAACCAGAATTGAAGATGTCATCGACCATATTGGTACGTGGATGTTCAATAACAAACTAAAACTAAACGAACACAAGATAGAGGTTATGATTGTTGGCACAAGTAACATTATCAGTTGAAAGTTGGAAATATGGTCATTCGGCCTTCTCCATATGTCAGAAATCTTGGCGTCCTACTAAAATCTGACCTCTCCATGAAGAAACAGATTTCGAATGTATGCAGAAAATGTTACTTCCATCTGCGTAACATTGGACAGATCAGACATCTCCTGACTCAGGATGTTGCGGCTGCCCTGGCGAGAACACTGATTCTCTCACGACTTGATTATTTCAACAGCTTGTTGTTTGCAGCTTCACAAGAGTCCATCCAAAAGCTTCAATGAATCCAGAACACAGCTGCCCGCATAGTTACTCTCCAACCTAAACATTGCCGCATCACTCCCATCCTGATGTCTCTTCACTGGTTGCCTATTGAAGCTCGCATTGACTATAAGATCCTTACACTTGCTTATCGGTCCATTCATGGTATTGCACCTGTGTATCTTCAAGAACTCCTCTCTCCGTACATACCAACAAGAACTCATCCTCGTCTATAATCTGCTCTGTGTACCTAGTCTTACCAGAACATGGCATCGGTCAATTGGAATTCTCTCCCTGATGAACTTGAGCTGTCTCCAACCCTTGAAAACTTTAAGCATCACCTCAAAACCATTCGCTACAAATAGTTCTATGGACTTCAATAATGCCTTATTGATTGTTAGCGCTATGAGCATACCTAGTGTGGAGTTTGGCGCTATATAAATGGACACAATATTATAATTATTAAATATAAATAAGATTTATCAAACATCAAATTAATAATTGGCAGGAATAATGGTTAATAACCTGATTAGCTTATAATCTATTTCATTACATTTCCACATTTACTGAAGGACATAGAATTCTTCATAAATAACATGCAATCATTTCCAGTAAATTAATCAAAATGTCACATTTAACAGCTGTGTCTTTTCACTAAATCGTATACCACTGGGATCTACTCTATGAATCGAGTCAGGTAATTCAATAGAAAGTCCCAGCTCTTCGTAGATATGCTGAAATATTCAAAGCATTGTCTTATAGGCTCTCATATGAATTAGTCTGAAACCATTTGCGTGGAAGAATACTGTTCACATTGACTATATTTCCGTTAAAATCACATTACTCCCCGAATATTTTGTAATATTAATTGCTTGGCTTTTAAAAATATGATTTTGAAGCATAACAAATATATGAAACAATTTGTGACATAATCAAGAATATGTAAGATAAGAGGGATATTTCGATGGGCCCTATCCAAAACCAGATCGCTGTCAGATTTGTTTACATTGTGTCAAGGCTTTCTCGCCTGTCTCTTTTCAGCATTATGACCAACCAACTCAATGCCTAATATTGACAAAAACGTAAAGCAAAAACAATTTTGTAGATACAAGTATTGTCCGTGTTCATAATACTTGCAAGGTGTCAACTTGCTATTTGTTGTCAGGAAATGTTACGATTCCACAGACGTTTATTTGAGTTTTCATAATGTTATGAGAGTTTTTATTTTGTAATTTGTAATATCATTGATTAAGTGATAGTTATTATGGGTCACAATGTTTAAAGTTTTGAGTGCGGGGTTTTGGTTCGCATCTGGCATCATATATGTTCAATGGCAATAGTATTTGTGGCGCTACGCCTTTTGAGATAGCGTTTCAGAGTTGCCTCCCTTGGCAACTTGTTGACTCGTCATGCTGTGTGTTCCACATGATTCTGTACCGTTCTGAAGCGATAATGATGGAGCCTAGCTTTGTTAGAATGTTCGAGAACTGTGTAATAGCGATATAGAGGCTGTTATGTGATGGGGACTTTTCACATGACTGGATTTCTACACATCTCTCTGTCATCGTTGAGTTTCTCAACATTTCAAGACTGACCGTGCTTGCCTGCTGTCATTGTAAACAAACGTATATCTGCTCTCACTGTAAATGTCAAGACTCTGGTGAGTTAATATTTTATATTTGTGACCCAATATTTTAGATTTGTGACTCAACTGCATTGTACTAGATATCTGTATTGTCATTCATTGTAGCTTGCTCATTGTTTGCTCAATATATTATTGAATATTTTAGGATGTCTGTGTTCTATTTTTCTGGTTCAAAGGGGACTTTTAAACCTTTTGTCACGGCAAATTATTAACCCTAATAATATAATAATTACCATGCAGCATTATTGGCTCTGCCTTTGCACACAGAAATTGTTCATTTCAAAGAAGATTAATTAAAATCTAAAAGTTATAAAAATTAACATAACCTGTCATAACCGACAAGCCGTTACATCAGCAATTAGTTACGTCTTGAAGTTATCTCATCCATAGTTTGCCATTGTAACCTGATCAATTCTGACAACAACAGGTAAAGATTTCCATTTAAAACCATGCCTCTACTCGTGGGGTTGATCACTGGATTGTCTCGTCCAGATCCGATTATTTACAGACCCCCGCTATATAGCTTGAATATTGCTGAGCGCGGCGTAAAACTAAACTCACTCACTCGTGGGTTTCACCATGGCCGTAAGCGTCTGAGACGGTGGTATTCCCCGTGGCATTATCACAGGCTGCGATAAGTCCGCCTCGGAGGTGAATCCAAGTAATTTACTACATAGTATCTAGTTCATTGCAATAGGCCAAATCCATATGCACGCTATTACAAAATATAAGGTTTCAGCAACAGCCCATGGCCTCTCTGTCTGTTTGTCTGTCTGTCTGTCAGTCTGCCTGTATGTCGGTCTCTCTTTTGTGAACTTTTGACTTGTTGCATACAATGTGTGAAGCTCATAAAAGCGGCGTAAAACCATACTCGCACTCGATGGGGCAGGATAGGGTGACCGTTCTAAACGAGAGTAATTCATAAATACATTGTTTATGACACTAATATACTAATTATATGATTATCCGACCTAATCATGTCAATTGAGACTGGTTATTCTTTGGGCTTGACGTTTCTTTCACAAATGTCATAGGTTAGAAAACGAAAACGGATCTAAACGCAATAGCAACCTATCGGAAAAAGTCCTAATCATGTAAATCCACAGGGGTTAATGTTTGGCCTTGACGTTTCATGACGTTTCAAAAAGGTTATCACTGTTTTAACGTACAGTAAAGTTTAAGTGAAATTTTGACAATACGAAGAAAGGGAACATAATATGTTTCATGTTAAAGACATGTTATATTATTCTGTCTACAGAGAGACGACGCATAATGACAGTTGGACTAAAACGTCTGATGGTGGTGTTGATCTGGTCTGTGTTGGTTCTGCTCCTTGTTCTTGGTTACGTCACAGTGACGGACGTGGTTAACCCCTCCCAGCTGATGCAGTGGGAAGGCAAACATATACAAAGGAAAGGGTTACTGGTGCTGGCTGACCAGAGCTCAGCAGCCCAACGTCGGCTTCTCAATCAACTACTCACTCCTCAATATCTCAGACGAGTCCGAATGTATCAGGACGTTCAGAAATATTTGGAAAATGCCCGTTACAACAGGACTCTGTGGAAGGAACTTGATCTCAGGGTAAGATGTGTAGTAGTAGTAGTAGTAGTAGTAGTAGTAGTAGTAGTAGTAGTAGTAGTAGTAGTAGTACTTCTTATTGTTGTGAGACAAGAAACTGAGGGTACTGATACTCTTATAAGAATTATTTCTTCATGTTGAGGCTGCTCGTGAGCATACGTTATTCGCACTTTTGCACAGATCTGCTTGATGATCGTCATGTATGCATGTGGGGCGGTGGGGTAGCCTAGTGGTTAACGCGTTGGCTCGTCACGCCGAAGACCCGGGTTCGAATCCCCACATGGGTACAATGTGTGAAGCCCATTTCTGGTGTCCCCTGTCGTGATATTGCTGGAATATTGCTAAAAGCGGCGTAAAACTAAACCCACTCACTCACTCCTGTATGCATGTCACAACTCATAATAAAAACAATTCCATCCACAGTTTTCTTAAAGTCGCCAAGGATGGTGGACATAATCTCAATGTCAGTACTGATTTTGTTGATAGTTCTGCACTGCTGGACAGTGAGTATCAACTCAGCGAAGTGTCATATTAAATCGGCACAGGCTCGGGTTTTCAAGGGAAGGCTCTCAGAACGATTGGGTTTATGTGCAGTGTCCTGAAAAACGTTGGGATGGAGTCGGCTGGCATGTAAAGTCAAAACCGAAGAGTTTCTCTTTGCTACTCAGGACTTCTCGCTCAAAAACGCCAGTGGGATAAACGAAACGAATAACATGAAATATAGAGTATGCAAGGAATGTAATGTCAAACTTCCCAACATCTTGACACTCAATGCTAGCGTAGGAACAGGATCTCAGGTTGACTAGGGCGCGTTTCCTGGGAGAAGACCCATCTGCTGTCTGAGCTGCTAGTCAAGGGGCAACGACCCAGAGCTGATGATGAGCATAACTCGCCTCTGTCATTATGTCATTCTCATATTCAGAGCTTCCATTGCCGGCCTTATATCGGCCTTTGGTAGAGTTACAAGACCTCTTCGTACATCTGCTGTTTATACTCTGGAAGATATTCTCAGGTGCTATTGACATGACATATCATGTGATGTTCATTCATGCAATTGTCATTATCCAAGACTAACATGCTGAAGGTGTTGGAAAATGAAGTAGGCAGTTATGAAAGACCCTTGCTTTGTAACAGGGTGACAGTAAGTCCTTGTGTCTCGTGGCTAGATGTACTCTTGGCATACAATCAGCAGCAAGACTTATAAGATCTTTGCAGTGGAAAGGATATTTCTCTAATTGCAAATCATTTGTGTCACATTTCTCACAGTAAACTCATCAGCAAAGAGACACAACATCATGCCCCAAAATTAAACAGGGAGAGTGGAACTGAAGTTAGCTGCATCTTGTGACCATGCAGACACACTGGAAACGTACTGGTGCACTTTTCAAACAATGATGGAAGCTTTGTGCTTGCATACTTTATCTAATTCTTCTGTGCTGGCTGCTATGACTGGTGGATCTTGTTTCAGATGCAGTTCAGTCAGATGTAGTCTCCAGATTCATGGTCACTGTGAGAAATATTGATGAGGGTACTTTCGTCATTGATGTGGTTCGACACAATTGACACAACTAATCTGGAGATATTATAAATGAAATGTTAAACTGATGCTTATGTCAACACTGTCAGTAATGATCTTTTCAAAATGTCAACACTGTCAAATGAGCTTGTATTTCAAAAGTGGCTAGTCGTTCAATTTACCATTTGCGAGGACATTTATCTGTAACAATTCATATCTACAATGTATGTATACATTTATCTGGTTTAGCGATACCATACCTGAAATATGATTGGTCAATTTTCAGCTGCATCCATAGTGAATAAAGCACCAAACCTTGTTGATATCTTTTATTGAAATTGTAGCTTGGGTGTAAAATTGCATTTTTCATCATAACGTGCTATAATGATACATCGGATGATCCGCGGGTGATGCATGTCAAGACTCATGATGAAAGCAAGGAATTCCACAGCTATTTTAAGCGTGCAAGGTTGTTGGACAGAATCTGAAATTTGAGGTTGATTTTGTTGACGGCAATATACTGCTGGACGGCACAGCGATGGGAGTAAACCAGGTGAAGATATTCACCAAGTCCTCCCAGAGTCGGTCATTTGTGGAGAAACTTTCTGACAAATCATTGCACTTGCAGTGTGTGGAACAGAACAGTAACCCCACCGACTCCTTCGTCTGGATGATGTCGCTTGGTCTTAAATGTGAAACTGAGGGCTTTCTTTTTGCTGCCCAGGACAGTCTCTTCCCACTCGCCATCGCTAAAATGTGATTCTTAAAGAAAATATCAGTATGAAATGTGGACTCTGCAATGAATTTACAGAGACTGTCCAACAGCTTGTCAGTGGATGCCCTTCCTTGACATAAACAACACACACCGGTGTGCGGTGTGCGGTGTGCGGTGTGCGGTGTGCGGTGGGGGGTCCTGAGCGTGGAGCTCAGGTCCTGAATCAGTTGAAGTTAAGCAAAGTCAAGCTCGGAGAATCCTTGGATGGGTGACCGTGTTTGGCAGCTTGAGTCCTGAGAGTTTCTAGGACTTCAGTCCTGCCCACAACGAAGCACATGTTGATACACGTGGTCTCACCTTCGTTAAGTGAGTTTGTTCAAAATTGCCTCTGTTCACCCAGCAGAAAATGAGTACCCCATTGGATAAAATCATGTGACTATAACCTTCTAGCGCTTAACAGGCAGCTGGGGTTATCCGGAGTAATAATAATAAGATTCTCATTATGGCGTCCGGGGAGCAACTAGTCAGATGGATGTTAGGCACTATATAAATGAATTATTATCAATTATTATATCTTAAACGATGACATGGCTCGTTGCTTCTACTACAGCCTTTGCCATTGCCTGTGGCTTGACTCCTAGGTCCAAACGTGGTACGACCCTGAACATGTCCAGGGCGTCATGTAAAATGATGTTTTTAAACTTCTCTGAATAGGCCCATATACAGCCTCAGAAGAATTCCAGCCAACAAACCTGATCTTGCTCATTGGTAAAAAGCCAATGAATGTTTTCATATAATTGAATTTTCTGTCCCTTTTGGCACCAATGTGATTGGCAAGATTCAGGAAAAGCATGCTAAATATGCAGACCTCGCCTTTGAAATGTCTCGCTTGCATCCCAAGGACACTGTCGTTAGGTTTCCTATTGTTGTCGTGTCCTTGGTTTGGTACAGTCCTTCTGCCACTCTTAGTAATGTAGAAGGCTACAGTGTTTGGGAGCCTTCATATTCTTCGCAAAATTCTTGGTGGGTTCGACAAGGCACTCGCTGTCTGGGCTGCGTGTAGAGGGGCAGGGCCCCTGAGCTGATGATGAGCCTTACCAGCCTGACTGTGCCAAGGTCACAAAAACCCTCTCTGGTGCTTTTTCAATCTGTAACATATAATAATTATCAGACAACGTTACATCCTTGTTCCTGTACCTTGGAGCAATTCCTGTCCCTGTCAATAATCAGAATTTGTGATTATATTTCTTAATATAAGAATAATCTAAAAATTGCTTTTCACTCTAATGTGCTTTAGTGTTCAAGCGTCGTTAATCCCAGTCAGAACGTGGGATTTCAAAAGAAATATGATTAATGACATATGGAAGGAAAATATATAATGTCAACGTTCTTAACAGTACTTGCAGGCAGTCGGGGTGGCAGAAGAGTTTCACTATAATCTTCACCTTAAATAATCTGTGAAGCATTTCTTCAAGCCAATCTACAAACCTGTCCAAGAATTCAAGAACCCATGCTGGTGGGAGGAGCAAGTTCCTGAAAACACCTGTCCTTTGGCTGAGAAATCATTGAAGAAGTCACTCAGATGGATGGAGTCGGGAAGGGGGAAGACCCTGCGCTGCCTTCCCTACTTCTTCATCATAGGACAGTCCAAATGTGGCACCACGACACTTTTCAGTAGAATAGCACAACACCCTGACGTCGCACCTCATGCCACGAAAGAGACTCAGTGGATCGGTCGCATCCGACTACGTACGTTTAAAATTGTTTAGTCTTGTGTCATACACTTCTAATGACGTATTCTTGGGCCAAGGTCTTAGTACTTAGTACTTTGAAACGTATAATGGCACCTGTCCGAAAATGGGCAAATGCAAGGGATAGTGAATCGTTCACCTTAAAGGAAACAAGAAACATTTGGCACAAATCAAACGTGGTCCATAGATCAAGAGTTATGAATTTTGTTAATTCAAAGCTTTCCATTGCATCTATATACTGGCGGTTGGTAAATAGTCCTGACAATAAGGTGAATAATATCATGATTATCCATCTGTGCAATTGTGATACTATCATATGATGAGTTTGATCTCAGTCCCTTCCAAGTAAAAGAATCCATGTTTAAATGGGTCATGGTAGAATGGAGATAAACCTAGTGTGTTTGAAAATGAGAGACATACTTTACTGAATTGATTCGGTTCGGTTCCAATTGAAATTTAGTCGCCATCAATTCAGTAAAGCATGTCTCTCATTTTCAAACACACTAGGTTTATCTCTAAGTAGTCCCAACACGCTACATTGGCCGAACCCCTGCAAGTCAAGTATTACACGTTTAAAATATTCGTCAGGAATTAGATGGTGTTCACAATATAGACATAATGGCTGTAATTACCTTCAGTCTCGACATGGAAATACATTGTGTAGGGTATTTCCACTGTTACAAAGGGAGATGTTCAGGGATGCTTAAAACTATTGTGACCGCTACGGTTGGATTGAGCACAGATCGACAAGCACAAACAGCCTAGATGTTGCTGCTGGAACATAAACATAAAGTGTGCTGTCATTTTGTGAAAGAAATTAACCAGACGTTTTACAATAACAGGACATTGATAATTCAAATGAAATCGTTTTTATCATTGTATTCTCTGCCTCGTTTGACATAAGGCTGATTTAAGAAATAACACAGCAAACACGCGGAGTTTGTCGCTTACATAATGTCACACTTGCACCCCAAGTACCAAACAATTCTAAGTACCAAACAATTATACTGTTCTCCACACTGGGCGAGTACACGGGTTTGCGGTCAGGGGAAGTTGTATGTATTTACGAAGAATTTGCTTAAACTATCCAGGAACTTTACGTACCTTTGCAGTGTTGATGTGTCACCGGTGGAACCCGTCATAAACAATTGCAATAGTGAGATAATTGTCCGTCTGAAAGAATCAGTAGCTAACTTACAAGTCAAAATAGAAAACTGCTTCCAACACACCCGTTTCCTTAAAATAATCAAGTTAAAATATGATGACACTGCTTTCGTGATATCCTTGAAACGTGCAATCTCTAATAGCAAGACCGATTATAAGATATCTTTCAAACATGTATCTCACATACTGATGTGCATCAAACGATGATCACACGTCATTACATCGATTACATTTTATATCCTTCAACAATTATGGGGTTTTGTTTCAGAACCTTCCTGTTCATCGATAGAGACCTACCTCAATCTGCTGCAGACAAGCTCTGCATATATTCAGAGCAGACAAAGACACGGTGAAGTCAGTCAATATGTGATAGGTAATAGCAATATCAATATGTGAAAAGGCACATTAATATCTGAGGCTGATAATGTCATACTTGGAAACGTGGAAATCTATTGCGATTGATTGTTTATTGACTCTCCACAGGTGATGCTACACCAAATCATTTCTCCACGCACGGCTTTTGGGACATGTTGCCTGGCAACGAAGGATGCACAGAACCATGTGCGACAGATGCTGACGTCATTCACCATCTGAACCCTCGTGCTAAACTCCTGCTGATCCTCCGGAACCCAACGACCAGGTAACGTGTAACAGTCCATATCGGAGTACGTCACGTACATTTGCAGCTGTTGTATTCCTGGCTACGGTCTCAATAGTTATTTCTGATGTGATATTGCTTTGTGAGGTGTTCATTGCACGTATGAAGAATGTCATCTCTGGGAGTGCGAGCGGGGATTTTATTTAACACAGTTCTGACAATATTTCAGTTATGTTACTGTCTGTTACCAATAAAAACCTGTATAACAGGCCTTAGACGTTTAACACTTTAGAGAAGCCTCTAAGTGCAAATTTGTTACAGACAAACCAAAAGATATGATCTGGCTGAACGGAATGCGAACCCATGATTATGCGATTCCAGGCTGACTGGGAGACTTGACAAGGTTGATAGAAACTGAGAAAATATAGAACACTGAGCATGGAGCTGTGATTACTAGTGTTGGGAATTGGTTGAAATCTCACAATTGATGATTGGTTCAATACCAACGACCAATCATCGAAAAAAATTGGTTAGCGTCATTTTTTAGATTTTCCTATTCAGGTTGTAGTTGCAGATAAGTAAAAAGACAAAACATTTGGTTCTCTGTTGTTTTTTTAGAAACTGCACAAATTACAATTGCAGATTTCACATCCAGTGTAAAATGATTCAGTTCCAGTGTAACATTAACTTCCCTGATTCTTCAAGAAATTTTCAGTCATAACTTTTCAAAAAGTGAAGTGAGTTTTCTTAGAAATAAACACGTTTTCAGGCCCTGACAACGTCCTAGATATGTTCCATCATCAAGTATTTCAAACTCTATTACAGCGGTTCCAAAATCGTTTGTGTTCGATTATGAGAAAATGTGATCGATTGCTTGGTCATTTGGCCACTGCGACCAATCTTCGATTATTTCAATTAATCGCAATTAATCGGACCACCACTAGTGATTACGCACCTATCTGAAAGGAGAAATTCCCAAAGATTTGAAAGGCAAGCTTGGGATGATTGACCGTTGAACTGAACTGTCAAATTACCTGCTGAATTTGAGTATGAGAAACATCTAGCTGATATGCT